TAGCCTTTATTAGTATTTTCATTCCCCCAATTTTTATATTATGAAAAAAAAAAAACAAAGTAGTCTCACAGGTCTTCAGGACTTTTTATTCTAACCACTAACGCTCCAGTCTATCCAGTATCTCCCCAAACTATTGGGTGGGTAGCCCAAGCACTTAGTACATATACGTATGTACCTACCTCGACCGTCCTCATAATCTGCGTCAATATCGAAACCATTAGAAAAATTATAGGACAAAGAGATTAGGGTAGCTATTCACTAAGTCATTGGAGCGCTCCCATGGGAGTGTTCCCATATATTTTGCTCTCTTACTCTTAGGTAGGTATATCGTGCTTACTCCGACCTAACTACGCATGTACCTGGGCTAAAAATGAGTAAGCACCTAAGAGTAAGAGAGCAAAATATATGGGAACACTCCCATGGGAGCGCTCCCATGACTTAGTGAATAGCTATCCAGTAGTGTTTAATAAGTTTTACAATTAAGACGTAAAACCAACGTTCGCAAAAGTATTAAAAAATTATAAAACTGAATTGTTAAAATTCAATTTTATTTTTTGTTACGTTGGTTAATGATTAATTCATTAGTATTTTTATTAATTATTATTGTTAATTTTGTGGGAAATTTATATAATATTTTTTTTTGCATATTCTATTGTATACATTTATGTAGAAAGCAAAAATCTAGTTTTATTTTGAATAGAACATCCTCTAAACAACTACATGGTTATCTTTATTTCCACTAACAAGGATAATTAATGGATCAAACGACTTACCTGAAGGAAGTGTATAAATCATTAATTTAAAAATAAATTATTTTGAAATTATTTTATTGCAGGTTTGATTAGTATATCTGACGACGCATACTGAGCATGCTTATAAACACACTATTCTGCGATGTCCTGTGCAGAGACGCGTTTTTGTGCACAATTTCTCAATTGTCTCAATTTCTGCCTAAATGTTCAATTTATATTGGTCTTCTATTTTATTTCTATGGGTAGATCCGGCAATACGTTATTCTTTGTATAGGAATATAATTTATTAATGAAATCTGAATTTATTATTTTTTGGTACCTTTTAATGTATGCGATTTAAAATTCGATAGTTTTTAAATAACGAAAAATTACCCATTGTTAAAAGTTGAATTCATTGTTACAGAATGTGGATACAACATTATTTTCGTAAAAAGAATGGGTCTATATTTGAATACTATTATATGTAAAACAAAGCTACTTTGTTAATAAATTATTTACAATATTCTACGGGTTGTCCAAATTCAGACAAATTTAATGTTGTTTAGAAGAATTATGAAGACTAGACATAAGGAGGCGAATCGGCTTTGGTCAAATTTTAAATTTCCGTCCCTATTTTTATGGAGTTCCAAAAAACTACTGTAGTTGGCTGGTGGCAAAATAACGACGTCTATTTTCTATGCAAGTCAATGGGAATTAAAGTGATGTTTGTAAAATTTAGTGAAAAGAATAAAAATAAGCTAAAATAAAGAACCTGACTACAAGTAACAATGAGTAACAAAAAACAGCAAAGCAGGATTTGCTTCGTTCCGGGTTGAAAAACGGAATATAAATCCGATATAAAATTAAAGGAGATAAAAATCCAAGTCTTTTTAAAGCTCCTAGTGTAAGTAAAATAATTTATTTATTTCTAAATATATATTTATTGTAAAATAGTCACAACCCGTATCTTACGGAGTGTAATTTATTTAATTACAAAATTCTATAATAAAAAATAATAAAGTCATAAATCCTGACTTACAAACAACAATAATTACACATTAAATTTAACTTACTAGAAAAGATCATTTGCTTTTTTTGTTTTTTGATGTTAGATGAAGAGTTACTACTGTTATTTTTCTTTATTGAACTCCAATTTAGTCATTGCAAATATTTTTTATAGGATCCTAAACTTTTAGAACAATGGCAGCATGTGATTCCTAGGGCTGATAAAGTACTGTCTAGTTATGATTCTGTTTACCAGCTACACTTTTTAGAAGATGATATTTTAAAATTTGATGAGACTATTTTAACTAATGGTACTGTTAACAAAATAAAAAGGGAAAAGCCGAGATTAAAGAACAAAGCAATACCATGTATATTCCCGAATCTCTCTTCATACTTGTCCAGTATTAGGAAAAGACGAAAACCACCATTGAACCGAACTGAATTTGTTAGAATAAAAAAAGAAAGAAAATACTAGAACCTATTGCTGAAGAAACTGTTCACCAGGATGATGAAATTGTAGTTGTCGAATACAAAATTACCACACAACCAAATTTCACCATTTAACAAACCTTTTCAAATTTGGTCATGTCTAATTTTCATTTTATTTAGATAAAATTAAATAATGAATAGTAAATGTTTAACATAAAGACTTATTTATAATTAATACCAAGAGTATTTCTGTACTTTAGTTAGCAATTAATACAAAGACTTAGTTACAATAATTAAAATCAACAGTATTTTCTGTGCTTTAGTTAGCAATAAACAATTTGATTTTTATTACTTTCATAAAATTTTGTAAAATCCCTAACTAACTATTTTCATTTAAACCATGTCTTAGTATGCCCTCAGCCCTTTTTAGCTTTAATTAAAAAATAATTAGCCCTACCTATCCAATTTCAACACTTAAAATCAATAATTTGCATTTTATTTAAATAGGAATGAATAGTAAATAATGTATCAATTAAAATATTTAAGACTTATTTAGAAATAAATACAACAGTATGTTCTGTGCTTTATTTAGCTATAAACAAGTTTATTTTTATTATTTTGACAAAATTATGTATAATTCCCATAAGAAGCCATGTAGTTTGAACTACGTAAACCGTACCAGCGCCCATGCGGTTAATTATAAAAGCTGAATTGACGTGTGATTTTTGGGACCATATTTTGAGCGTTCCGATTCGCCTCCTTATCTCTAGTCTTCATAAGAGTAATATAACAACAGAGAAAATATAATAAAAGCCTTGTGACACATTTCAAAACAGTCAGTGATTAAATATTTAAAAATTATTTTAAAAAAATATTGTCGTTAAATCATAGAGGTACCTCCATGTTGCCGATTCATTTGCTAACAAAGGCAACCAACCAAATACTTTTTGGGTCTGATCCTTCCATTGCACGAACAACATCGGTCGTGACCATCAAGATAGAATAAAGTAGAGACGACATAAAAACTATTGACAGATGGACGCACTTAAAAGTGTAATGAAAATGGCTACTTGAGTCGTACTTTGACACATACTTTGATTTTTTTTTACTATACGGAAAATGGTCGCACTGCGCAGCTTTCTGAGTGCCTTTTAAAAGGAGATAGAAAACTCCGCCATTTTGATCCCATATTACGTGTTGCCTACATCTTGGCGCAATATTTTTAATAGTTGCGTTTTAATCATCCGCTTCTGCTTCGGAATTGTCGGTTTTCTTGTTTTAATCTGACAGGTTAAATCGACTAAACCGACAATTCCGGAAGCAGAAGCGGATGATTAAAACGCACCTGATATTTTGCTTGCTGCTGTCAGTGTCAGTGAATATTATTTTTGGAGTCACAGTTTATTGCTAAAGAATTAGTTAGGTCACTCGGACCAGTTGAAAGTTCCAAAATAACATCCACTCCAGGGATACAAATTCAGGATGCGCAGAAGACTGCTGTTTTATTATAGGTGGTTGTTATATATTGTATTATCCGAGTTGCGCAGTGTAAAAACTGGAACATTGAGATCAAAAGTGCCGACGCAGAGTAAGCGATCCGATTCTTTAGCTATAAACTGTGGCATAGGAATCAAAATGGCCGCGCCCTATGTTGGGCGTGTCGGACCTCTCTCTTGCACCGTATAGTAAAGAAACTCAAAGTATGTGGCGAGGACACTCTCGACGACGTTAACTACGTCAAAGCAATGGGCCGGGGTGGGGAAACCCACCTTCCACATTTTACAAATACAGGGGGGGCGTTCAGAATAGGATTAACGCGTGTTGTCGTTGTCTAGACTCTAGAAATCGTTCCTAAATGTGGAACGTTTTATTGGAACGAATTACTCCAGCCGTTCCTATTTAAAAGAAAAACGTCGAGATGAAGAAATTTTATCTACCGTGTTGAGTAGGGCAATTTTTATTCGATTTGCGCAGTATGTTCTTATGTCGTCAAACATAACCTTAATTGACTTCTAGAATCACCTATTTCATTTCCTATTTTTACTTTTTGATAAAAAATATTTAAATATGAATACTCATACGAATGAGAAAATTAATTTCATCAATTATCGTCTAGTTGTCAGAGATGATGGTAATTTCATTAAAGACATTTTATTTCAAAGGATTAAAGGTAATGAATTACATTTTTACATAAAAAATTTTTAGGAAAATATTGTTATTTTCTCTATAACATTTCAAACTATTGTTATCGATACGTTCCATTTAGATTCATTACCTTTTACAAATTTTTGATCATTTCTACAATAATCCTACATAACCAGAAACTTGATTTGACAATAATGACAAGTGCCATTTAGGCTTACCATTCGTATTTACAGGGCAAAAACAAACGCTTTGGCGAATTTTGTCCGGACGATTTAAAATTTGACGGTCTCTATTTATGAACGCACCCCAGAGAATCGTTGGCCAACATTTTATGTTGTGTAAAGCTATAGTTTTTACTTTCTTTTTGTATTTGTGAGTCGTCACAATTTGTTTTGTTTATCATTCAACTAGCATTTCTTTAAGTTTGTTATATAAGATCATAACTCAATGATTTTCCTCCACTATCAGTTCTATGTTTTCCTGGTGCTACTATTTTCTTTTTCTTCTCTTTTTTCTGTTTCCTCTTTTCTCTTTTTTTCTTTTTCCTCTTCTTCTTTTTCTTCTTCTTGATTTATATTGATTTATTTTTTCCTGTTTTATTAATATTATTATAATAATACTAACAATAGACAAATTCGATTTGAGTACTTACCAGAACAGATTATTTTATTTCCAATTTTTTCATTTTAGGAAACATTCTCCTGCTACTGGTTCAAAGAAAAGCACGTTAAAGCGCAACGGTCTCACTCAGTTGCATCTAAATCGAACATGAGGTATCCGGATTCAATTGATTCTGGAAGTCAAGATAACTCTATGCAATCTTTCATGTTATCAATGCACAAGAACTCGTTAGAATCGACGACAATGACGGCAATTAACAACTCCTTCATGAAACGGTAAGTTTTATAAAGATGATCATCACAATATGTATCGATAGAAATGATATGATAATTTGTTATGTCGGCTGAAATCGTTTGAGTACTAAAGAGCAGATACAATATAAACCATAGACGAGTTTCAAGAATCAATTCGCAGTGGTGCATCAATATGCTTAATTAGTCACCTAGCTTGGTCAGCATGATAGACAGAGCTGATGAGCTATGGCAACGATACAACAAGTACGTTGGTTGAGTTTTATTGATACCCAAAAGTTTTATCTGAGAGGCACAATAAAAGAAACTTTTTGACGTTCAGAATAAATCATTTATCGCAAATGTCTGATTATTATTATGAAATAAAGATAAATGATTTATTATTAGAGAGTGAAAACCTTGCTATACTGATTCTGATGTAGTCAGAAAATCTGTTGGCAGCTTTGAAGAAGCTAGCACTTGAGCTCTGTTCAATTGGTAATATCATTAATCAAATTTGGTCACATATAAAAAAGTATTGTTTGGTAGTGATTTAATTAAAAACTTTGCTTGGATAACTATCAGAGTTATCTACAAGATTGTATGGAAATAGATGTAAAACTACCACATCTACTAAACGTGTATTCTAAGCCTCCATTTTGGAGGTCCAACAACAATTTAATGTATCCCAGTAAATGAAGAAGGTAATTTAAAATAACACGAAAAGCAAGAGAAAATCAAAAAACATCCTCTTAAAAATAAATCAAAACCAAGAACTGTTGATAAAATTGAATGTAACATGGAATGTCATAGCTAAGCAATCTACAACTAATATCTTTAATGGAACTGGAAATACATAGCATTACAAATAGTTAGTTCATTGTCTTGGATAAAGACATTTTTATGAAACAGGATCTATCTATTTATCTGAATTAGGGCGTGGTTCAAAGCCCGCTTGTACTGAAGCTCTAGGCTTATTGTATCCCTCACAGTTTCTATCCCATCAGATTGATTTTCTTGATGAATTCAAGAACATGTCTGATGGGCGCTTTCGCGATTTCTTCAGGTTCCGGATATTGTACCCCGAAGTACCATTCCCGTTCCCATTTAAGGTTTCGACAGTGGCATAGTATGTGAATAGGAGTTTCGTCCTCCTCTTCACATATTTTACATAGGGAGTCATCAGATATCCCTAAGAGATTTAGGTGGCTTCTAAGGCCGCAGTGTCCCGTAAGGAGTCCTATTACGGCCTTGAGTTCGCTTCTGCTAAGGTTTAGCAGTTGATGTTGTCTGCTCGTGGATGGCCCCTCTATGAATCTTTTGGACTGTTTAAGTCCAGGAAGTTCCATCCAGAGCCTATGGTGTTCTCTTTTTATTTGTTCCTTTAACACCCATTTAACATATTTGACAGCTGATGCGGAAAGTAGATTCATATTCACACAAAGGTGGGCAGTAGATTCATATCCACACGCGTGTGATATAGGGCACTTCCCATAGGACTAAACAGTTCGATAAGCATGTGTCACTTTACTAAATGGTCATAGGAAAAACAATTTTTTATATAGATATCCCGACAACACTTCAGTAAACAAATACTTGACTATGACTATGTACACATAAACTGCGCCTCATCATTGCTAGGTACGGAGGTATCGCCATATCATGGGGCTGTCAGATCCGCACTCTGTAGGAGGTGCGAATAAGAAGATGAGACCACCGAGTATATCCTCTACGATTTCTCGATGCTCTCATTTATTAATAGATTTGTGTTCGGTGTGTATTGGCTAACACCGGCCAATATAAAAGAGAAGAACTCTCAGCGATATTGTCAATTATTAATTTAGGAGGATGCACAATAAGTCTAGTGAGGCCTAAGTGCAGTCAATCAACCCACCCTCCACACGTTACCGATACAGAGAAGACCAATGCAGACTGAGCGTTTAATTATATACTCTACTAACGGGGAAATCAATATTGCTTACGGGAAATCCCCTATTTATTCTGCAGATTATGATAGTCGTGTTGTTAGGCGATTCTATGTACATAATTTCTTTAATAGTAGTACTGCTATAAATAAAACATTTTCTATATAGATAATATATTTGATTTTAAATTTTATAGTTTTATACATTTTCATTATAGAATTATACGTCCATTTAGTAAAACACTGATTTATCCGAAATAATCCGCAAAAATATTTAGGTTAGGTTAAAAATGAGTAGGATGATCTCATCGCTTTCCACTGAAGGTCATGGTTGAATTTTCGAAAATTAGGAAATTATCCGAACATTGGCAACACTGGCTAAGATAATAAAGAAAAAGTCTACACTCTATTCACTGTCTACATAGGACCAAGACCAACGAGCGCGAGCGACGTCAGCCGATCTAACCACACGGGTGTTCTATTTAAAAAATAAACATTTTTATTTGCCAGATAAAACGTAACACCCTGTATATCCTAAAATATTTTTAAATTTTCTTGTTTAAATCCATATAACTTTTATTTGAAATTTTTGTGTATCTATAACACAAATTGAAATATCGAGTAATTACGCACTAATGGGACACCCTGTGTATAAATGGGATTCCAATTTTACTGTGTGGTGCTGTAGTCCCGCTACTGCAGCATGCACTCGATCTTTATTTTTTTTAATTTTTAATTTGAAGGGTTATACAAAAAAATGTTAGGTACTCTTAATATTTTCAAATTTCGAGGAACCACTTTTTTGTTCATTTCTCATATCGAATACCTGGTAAATAAACTTATTAAGAATTCAGTTAACCAAATATCAAATGTGCATCTACCTTAAAAATCTTTTAAAACATGTCCTTTCCTTAAAATTCGATTTTGTTTTTCTTAACATTTGCGAAAATATTTAAAAAATATACATAAAATAAAAAAACAACTTAATTAAACTACTTAACCTGTACGACCAGAAGCTTAAAAAAAATTATGAAGTTTATTCAGTTATTGCTATTGTAGATGTTTTTGTATTTTAAGAGACGCATGCTTCAATTAAGAGCATGAACCATTATTTGATTAGAATTTGTTCATATAAACCTTGCAATAATTTGTTTTAGAGATGTAAGTGTACGCACTTACTTCTGAACATAGAGATTAAATTCGCACAAGTATTGCGATAAAACTAATTTAATATTTTTACGTTAATGTTTACTGGTTTTAATGTTGATTATTGCAAAATCATTCTCATAAATTTTTCTCTCTTTTAGATATAGCCTACCGCAAAGCATTTTTAAATACACATGTAAATTCTTAAAGATAAAAATGTCATTATAATGATGAATGTCTATACTTTTAATCTTGATAAATTGACATTCTTTACATATTTTTCTATCTATTTTTTTTTTAATATTTAAAAAAAATTAATTTGTTAATGATTTAAGGAAAGATAACCTCATATATTTAAATTTTACAGTAACGAATCGAAGTGTGATTAAAAAATCCGCCATCCACAAACTCGGTATTTTCTCCAAATTGACATTGATTTTATGTTATCTTTAAGCATCTACACGTGGGTAAACATTTAAAAATGATTTGTGAATATGGATATATCTAAATTCTAGGTATTTTTAAACTATTATTTGACTAAAATATATTTCTTTCAGGATGCAGTTAGAAAAGGAATCCTTAGAAGTTGAACCAAGTAAAGAATAGCTTTATTCTTAAGCCTTTCTCCCTTGAACAGTATTATAAAAGCAGCATCCAATCTAAGAGAAACAGAAACGATCCAAACCATTTATTTAAGGATAACAGAAGAAAATAATGATCGACCAAGAATGGTTCTAAAGGAGACGTATGTTGAGGCATTCAATTCGTCTTCTTTTTTAGGATTAAGTTTGGATTTTCATTTAGAGCCGTGTGTAATTATCACGGACATGTCTCGGTCAGGACCTACTTTAGAAACTTTTTTGTGGATCATTCTTTATAAATATCTGATATCGATAATAGACCAGGGTCGATAATTTTTGAAACAAAAAAAAATAATAGTAGGATGAAACCCGTTAAAAAAGGACGAGAATATAACAAAAATGAAAAAAAAAATAATTTACGGGCGATCTGAGGTCGGGAAGTGGAAGGGGGTGAATTTTTAAGGGTAAAAAACGGTTTATCTCGATATCCGGCAAAAGTACAAGTCCTATGGAAAAAAATTAAATTACAAAGTTGTAAGTAATAAGGAGACCTACAACTTTTGTGTTTGCACTTTTCTCACATAACCTCAAAATTTATGTGAAAAATTCAAATAATCAAGTTTTTGGTTTTTTATTTTTATCTTATGCAAAAAAAAATTTTTTTTTCATGAAATTTGGTGAAAACTTACCTTTTTATGTCCTTTTTGAAATATTTATTTTTTCACCTTATTTTGACTTAATATCGAAAAAACACCCTAATTTGCAATCGAAAATTCTCGCGTCCAAATATTAGCTTTTTAAAAAGGAGTTCTTTGTTCGTTGAAATCTCTTCTTTCTGATTATGTAAAAAATAGTATATTATGCAACGATCATGTAATGATGGTTATTAATACACGAGCATTAACCGGGATACGAAACGAGCCAAAGGCGAGTTTCGTATGGTTTATGCGAGTGTTTTAATAACCATTACATGAGAGTTGCATACGCTATTTTTTCTACACCCGATAAATAATCAAGATCTATAAATATTATATTTATATTGGTATTGAACACAATAACAGTAATTACTCGTATTTCTATAAAAAATTCTACAAAATTGTAATTAATGGTATTACTTCAGGTATTGGTATTTCCCTAGATTTTTGCGGTAAAATATTTTGTACTGTATTTTCTGCTTTCTCCGATATGTGTGGAGGAGTCTTCTATATCGCTAATATCAGACATTTTAATATTATAATTATCGAAGTTTAGCTACCTACGAAAATTTAATACGTTTTGACAACTAAAATAATTACATAGGAACCTAGGACAAACGTCAAACAGCATGCTTGATTGAAAAATTGTAGGTTTCTATTGATTAAAAATCTGTATCGTAATGAAAAATCTGTATCATAATGGGTATCATTATGAAACGGATTATGGGCATATAAGTGCATTATTATAATACGGGTGTAGAAAAATATATAAACATAATTATGGTAAATGTTCTCAGAAAATGGAAAGAAAAGAAGAAAACTCGAATTCGAATTTTTTTATTTTTTAAATCACTATGTACAATTTTGACACTTTAATTACTTGAAAAACGTCAGATTCTATTTACATTGATAAACAAAAAAATTACAAATCCATAAATTATAAAAATTGCAAAATACATGCGAAAATAGTTGTTCTAAATATTAAAGATAGGATTTAAAGGGGGGATTTCGATTAAAAAATGTGATTGCTGCAATTTTTTTTTAGTCAGAAAGTTGATTTATTAAATTCTAATTACATTTATGTCATAGAAAATCTCATAATATATTAATAGAAATGTAAATCGTACTATTGAATTTAGATACTTTATACTGATTATTATTATTATTATTATTATTCATAATAATATTTTAAAATGCATTAATGTTCTTATTTATAAATCTTATCTGGAACCCTAATCACTTATCCATTACTTTTTGTCTCTTCGGTGGCATTTCTTTATCGTTAGATTCGACAAACCTTCCCGATTCTAGTAGATCTTCGAAATCTTCAAGACCATCACCGTCTTCGTATCCAATATTATTTTTAGTCTGAATTGGTCCTTCATCCACAATTCCATCTGAATCACTAACTTTCTCGTAGGCTTTTTCTTCTACATTGGTGCATTTTTCAGAACCATTACAATTTGAGCATAAATTTGTTTTTAAGCCATGTTTTCGTAAGCCACATTTTAAACTATTACATCCAGATTCGCAGCTGCAGCAAATAGTTTTGAGCAATATTTCTCTGTAAATTTGGGCATAATCCCACGTTGATGTTGCTTCCAGCCCCAATTTGTTGCTGTCAGTTCGTTACCTAGCCAAGTTTGAAGTTGATAATATGCCCTGTAACAATGTTGTTCTGCTGCACCTTCTGTGGGTGAGAGATTTGCCAATATGAAAGATGATTTAATTTTTGCCAATTGATATTTTTGAAATCTTAATTGATTCAGTGTTATATTATCATTTTTACTTTCCTATCTGTATACAGATATAAGGAAAGTATAGGAATCATAATTTTTTTCAACCTCGAGTTTTTTACGGATTTTTACGTTTTGAGGTCCCCGGAATCCGTTTTGACTATTTTCGCGATTATATCTGTGTCTGTGTGTGTGTGTGTGTGTGTGTGTGTGTGTGTGTGTGTGTGTGTGTGTGTGTGTGTGTGTGTGTGTGTGTGTGTGTGTGTGTGTGTGTGTGTGTGTGTGTGTGTCGTGTGTCGTGTGTCGTGTGTCGTGTGTCGTGTGTCGTGTGTCGTGTGTCGTGTGTCGTGTGTCTGTGTGTCGCATAACTCATGAACCGATACACAGAAAAACACCAAATTTTAAAATTAAGCTTTATTCCAGCGTCTAATGAACTGATTAGATTTTGGACAGAGTCGGAACATCTGGGGTGGTACTTTTTGGGTGGTCATTTTTATATTTTATGGCATATATCTGTTATTTACGTTTGGAGAAGAAAATTCTTCAAATAAAAGTTACTTCTAATATTATTATCTATAATTTTTGTTTTATACAAAATTTTCCTAAAATGGTCCATATTCGAGAAATTTGACAAAATGTAAAAAAAATAATTTTTTTTAAAAATTGTTTATTTAAAAGTTGTTTGTAATATAATTCTCTGTAATTTTGATTTAATACATAATTTCTCTAAAATAGACCGTATTCGAGATATTTGAGAAAATGTGTAAATTTCGAATTTTGAAGAAAATTCAAAAACGGAATAAGAAAAAAGCATTAAATTTTAAACTTAAGGTTTATTTCGGCCTGACGTAAAATGATTAGATTTTGGACAAAGTCGGAATATCTGGGGGGTACTTTATGGGAGGCCGTTTTTATATGTTATGGAATATATCTGTTATTTATGTTTGGAGAAGAAAATTGTTCAAATAAAAGTTACTTCTAATATTATTACTTATCTATAATTTTTGCTTTATGTCAAATTTTTCTGAAATGGTCCGTATTCAAAAAATTTGACAAAATGTGCAAAATTCTGATTTTTATGAAAATTGTTGAACTAAAAGTTGTTTGCGATATCGATCTCTATAATTTTTGTTTTTACATGATTTTTCTAAAATGGACCGTAATGGAAAAATTGTAGGAAAAGTGCTAAATTTAAATTTTTCAGTATTTTCGTTTTCAATGAATATCTATAGAAAAATGTTTCGAGGTAGATGTATGTGGACAATGTATATATTTAGTTTATCCTCTAAACATTTATAGAGATACTGCAATAGGTTGTACAAAATAACCGGAAGAAGCCTATAATAACTAGATAGGAAAGTGTTGGACACATCAGATTTTTACATTTATAAATAGGTTTGATTAATTGTAATCCATTTTTTTCGATATCTTTTTGGTTTGCATCTTTTTTATAAAAAATATTGGCGAAATTTGACACATTTTTATCGTCTAATAATGAATTTACCATACTCTTCTTTCCTTTTCCGGCAAATCCAGATGCTGTATCGCAACCAGAAAAAAATGCAGAAATGCAACGATATTTTTGAAGGATTCATATTTGAAACCATTAGACGTGAAAAATAGATCTTTTACATTTCCAGAACCTGGTTTGAGAAAATAAATGATTATTTGAAGTTAATTGATTCAAAAGGACCACAACAATGACAGTTTTATTGGTATCTCTGGCAATTTCTATCGAAGTTTTAATAATGTATCCTTGTGACTGTAATCTTTTAATTAACGTTTTTGTTATTTTGTCCTTGTTTTTCTCGTTAGATAAAAATTTTTCTTGCAGAAATGATATTTTTGTATGGTTTTGATAATCAAACTCTGGAATATTGTCTGAGGTTTTTCTACGACTACGTTCTCCTTTTTTAGTTGAAGTAGCTGCTGGTAGTGTTGTCACAGTAACTGATTTTTTTTATCAATGTAACATAGAATCATAACGTTTTTCAAGTAGTTAAAGTGTAAATTTTACTAAATAGCTCAAAATTGTACATAGTGATTAAAAAAGTTTTTTCTTTTCTTTGCATTTTCTGAGAACATTTACATTTACCATAGTAATGTATATATTTTTTTACATTATCAGAAAGAAGAGATTTCAACGAACAAAAACTCCCCGATTTTTTTAAAAACCTGATATTTTGACGCGAGAATGTTCGATTGAAAATTAGGGTGTTTTTTCGATATTAAGTCAAAATAAGGTGAAAAAATAAATATTTCAAATCAAAAAAATTACAGTGTCTTTAGGACATAAAAAGATAAGTTTTTACAAATTTTTTTTTGAATAAGATAAAAATAAAAAACCAAAAACTTGATTATTTGAATTTTTCACATAAATTTTGAGGTTATGTGAAAAAAGTATAATTATAAAAGTTGTAGGTCTCTTTATTACCTACAACTTTGTTATTTAATTTTTTTTCATAGGACTTGTAGTTTTGCCGGAAATCGAGATACTCCGTTTTTACCCTTAAAAACTCACCCCCTTCCACTTCCCGACCTCAGATCGCCAGTAAATTATTTTTCCTTTCATTTTTGTTATATTCTCGTCCTTTTTGTAATGGGTTTCATCCTACTATAATTTTTTTTCACTTTTTAGTATTTTCAAAATTATCGACCCTGGTCTATAAGTAGAAACAATAGCGGCAATTTATGAAAATTTTACTCTTTTTTGGTAGAAGAATGCTGCTTAAAAATAGTGATGTTTTGCACAAATAGTTTCTTTTTCTAATGGAAAGAACTCGTTTTATAATTTCGGCAATTTTAATGCTTCCGTCTTAAAAAGTTAATTAATCGAGAGTAGCACACAAATGGCAGTAACTTCTGCTGTAGGTACTAAGGCGCAAAACATCAACATATTTACCAGCATACATTATTGCTATCATTATTTATACATTTAGGTAAATATTTTTTT